GGGGGGGGGGGGGGGGGGGGGGGGGGGGGGGGGGGGGGGGGGGGAGACGGGGACGGGGTTTGGGAGACATAGAGGGGTAAGAGACGGAGAGGGTGCTCCAAATGGGAAGGGATTCCCTTGTAGAGGAGTTCCCAGGCATCACTATTGGAACCCTTGCTTTTCCTGACATATATTAATGACCAGCATCTTGGGTGCAAGGGACAATTTCAAAGTTTGCACATGACACAAAACTTGGAAGAATTGTAAACTGTGAGGAGAACAGTGTGGAACTCTAAAAGGACATTGACAAGTTGGTGAGTGGGCAGATAGGTGGCAGGTGAGGTTCAATGCAGAGAACTGTGAGGTTAATGCTCGGTGGGAAGAATATTGAAAGACAATATAAAATAGGTGGTATAATTCTAAAGTGGGTGTAGGAGCAGAGGATGTATATGGGCACGGATCAGTCAAGGCAGGCGGACAGGTAGAGGGAGTGCTTAAAAGCGCATAGTGACCTTGACTTTATAATTGGGGGCATGGAATGAAAAAGCAAGGAGGTGTTGTTGAACTTAGAGTTATAGAATCCCTACAGTGTGGATAGAGGCCATTCTGCCCATCAAGTCTACAGTGACCCTCCAATGAGCATCCTGCCCAATCCCTGTACCCTGCCTTTAACATGGCTTGTACAAGGCACTTGTTGGACCTTAAATGGAGTATTGTGTATAGTTGTGGGCACCACATTGTAAGAAAGATGTGAATGCTTTGGAGGGAGTGCAGAAGTAATTTACAAGAATGGTTTGAGAGATGAGGAAACTTCAGTTCTGATGATTGATTGAGGAAGTTGGGCTTATATTCCTCGGAGGGAAAAAGCTGAGAGGAGATTTGATAAGGGTTTTTTAAATCATGAGCGGGCTGGACCGAGTAAATTGGGAAAAGGATAACAATAATCAAGTGCCCGACAATCCAGTTACTCTCACTCCTCCGAGATAGTAGGAACTGCAGATGCTGGAGAATCTGAGATAACAAGGTGTAGAGCTGGATGAACACAGCAGGCCAGGCAGCATCAGAGGAGCAGGAAAGCTGATGTTTCGGGTCTAGACCTTCCAGAAGGGTCCAGATCTGAAACGTCAGCCTTCCTGCTCCTCTGATGCTGCTTGGCCTGCTGTGTTCATCCTGCTCTACACCTTGTTAACTCTTACTCCTCGGCTCCTTCCCCACAGCCCTGACCATTTTCATCTTCCACATTAATGGAATCTGTGTCCACTGCCTTGTCAGGCACTCAAACCAAACATTAAGTACCCATTGTATTAAATAAACCTTTACTCATGCTATCTCTAGCTCTTTTCCTTTAAATCCCACATTCTGGTCATGACCCTCCTGTCACTTTCTCCTAGATAAATTCTGAACCATCTCTGCTCTCAGAAGAACAACCCCAGTCCCTCGATAGAACCTCCTAGCTTGATAACTGCAATATTACACGGAGGCTGTGGTTTCATTGGAGCCCATTTGGACCCAGCTGGGAATCAGCCACAACCAACTTGTGGAGTTAACCAAACTCTGTAAAAAGTTCCTGGTTCCTCAATCCAAGAGCTACCAGACATCCATCAGCACCACTAGGAGCAATGGGTACTGCAGACAGCCCATAGAGAAAGAGATAGTAGGAACTGCAGATGCTGGAGAATCTGAGATAACAAGGTGTAGAGCTGGATGAACATAGCAGGCCAAGCAGCATCAGAGGAGCAGGAAAGCTAACGTTTCGGGCCTAGACCCTTGTTCAGAAATGGGGGAGGGGAAGGGGGTTCTGAAATAAATAGGGAGAGAGGGGGAGGCGGATAGAAGATGGATAGAGGAGAGGATAGATGGAGAGGAGACAGACAGTTCAAAGAGGCAGGGATGGAGCCAGTAAAGGTGAGTGTAGGTGGGGAGTTAGGGAGGGGATAGGTCAGTCCAGACAGGACGGACAGGTCAAGGGGGCGGGATGAGGTTAGTAGGTAGGAGATGGGGGTGGGGCTTGAGGTGGGAGGAGGGGATAGGTGGGAGGAAGGACAGGTTAGGGAGGCGGGGACAAGCTGGGCTGCTTTTGGGATGCGGTAGGGGGAGGGCAGATTTTGAAGCTTGTGAAGTCCACATTGATACCATTGGGCTGCAGGGTTCCCAAGCGAAATATGAGGTGCTGTTCCTGCAACCTTCGGGTGGCATTGTTGTGGAACACCTACGCTCGGTTCGCACTAAACAACTGCACCTCCCAGTCGCGAACCATTTCAACTCCCCCCTCCCATTCCTCAGACGACATGTCCATCCTGGGCCTCCTGCAGTGCCACAACGATGCCACCCGAAGGTTGCAGGAACAGCACCTCATATTTCGCTTGGGAACCCTGCAGCCCAATGGTATCAATGTGTACTTCACAAGCTTCAAAATCTCCCCTCCCCCTAACGCATCCCAAAACCAGCCCAGCTTGTCCCCGCATCCCTAACCTGTCCTTCCTCCCACCTATCCCCTCCTCCCACCTCAAGCCCAAACCTACATATTGTCCAGATCTTGGACTCTAAGATTTGAAGATGGACTGCTTCAGTGTCTGAGGAGTCTCAGATGGTGCTGAACGTTGTGTGAACATCCCCACTTCTGACCTTATGATGGAGGGAAAGTCATTGATAAGGCAGTTGAAGATGGTTGAGCCAAGGATACCACCCTGAGGAACTCCCGCAGAGATGTCCTGGAGCTGAGAAATGGGTTTTTCTCAATTTATTAAAGGGATGTGAGTGTCATTTGCTAGGCCAACATT